CACCGTTGTGTGCTGGGATGGTGCGGCGTGTGAGTGTTAGCGTTTGTTGCGCACCACCTACTCAACGGAATGGTGGTGTAATTATTGAAATTACTGCTCTGCTTTGCTACAGCACGGTGAGAATGGCACAGCCGCTAAGCATGTACATACATAACGGTAATTAAAAAGTGCGTTCGGTGCTGCGTGGAACTCAATATTGTACATACTCGTACATACTTACATACTACTTACAAACACTCATGCAGTTCGTTGAAAATCAATCCATCAAAAGCTTTTCGTTAAGATGTCTTTTCAGGAAATTAATTAAAAATTCGTTATTGCTGCGTGAGTACTTGATGTTGTTGTAATTAAATTGAATACCATCAGTAGAATACTTATACATGATACATAAGGCGAAAAAATTATGGGCAAATGGTTCGCATAGCGGAAGTCCACGCTAGTAGGGCACGCTTTTAATTGCAATCCACCTAGAAACTTTCTTGTATACGAGTTATGTAGCCTGTGTGTAAACTTCCGGTTTAAGCTAACTGTATTCTATTCTATGTAGCTATAAATATTCACGAGAGCTACTTATAAAATAGTTTCGGAGCTGACCAATATAAACAATACTTACTAATATAGAGCGCAATTAGGAAGCTAGTTGTGTGAGGAAACTACTGGACGAGGTTGAAAAAAAAAAGAGAAGACATTATGACAGTTTTGAGTACTAAGCAGGTAGTACGATAAGTACTTAGCTCTTTGACAAGAGAAATTTTATATTCTTTTTTGTTGTTACCGTCAAAATGTTAGCCAAATCTGAATCGTAATTTTGTTTTGTCACGTATGTAAGCGGGAATCTGCATGGATTTTTGAAAAATGGAAAACGAGCAAAAGCAGTCGTTGATTCCATACTTGCTTTTGAAAGTGAAATTGCCAGTGTATTCAAAGAATGCTTGGTAGCTATGTATGGAGATGCTTCTTCTAAATGGAGACGATGCCAACCATCAAAAATTGGTTTTACGAGTTTCAACGTGGTCGCACGCCACTTTTTGATTGACTTCCTTATCCAAGAGCCCCAAAAATGCTACCACGGAGAACAACGAGACAAAAGACAAAGTTCTTGTATTGGCCAGCCCTTGATTGAAGGTGCGTGAGCGCAATCCGAACGAGTTTTTTGGTCTACACCATCAACATGGATTCACTGCAGCACAAAGCCATTTTCTAGATTCACATTTAACTACTTGGGAAAAGGGCAAAACGGTCACAGAGCTCTACTATGCCGAATTAAAGGGCCGAGATTATCGCTGCCACGGAGGTCAACTTTGTAGACCTTCAGAAAACATAGTTTTCGGACGCGTTAAATAAATTGGAGCATTGCTGGGTCAATTAAGTAAATTATCGTTTTCATTTGGCAGGTTAAATACCTATCGAACTGCCTTCGTCTAAAAGAGTCAGAGAAGGAAGGCAACTTCGATACGTGTGGAAAAACCGAGAGTATGTCGTGTCACACAACAATCAACTGTAAAATCGGCGACCATTCAAGAAAAGGTAAATGAAATTAACGCTTCCATAAAGACGATAGTAAAAGGTTAACTCAAAAACTCAACTGAAATAGTTGGACGAAAAAAAGGAAGATTTTAAAAATTTTAAATCTGGTACGAATACAGAAGAATCTATCGTTAATCTAAACGAACAACTGGATAATACAATAAAAAGTAAGATCGCCCGACAAAAAAAGGCACATGAATTTCTTAAACAGCGAACTTCTGAGCAAATTTAATGTGTGTCAGTACTACCGGAAGTACTTTGAGCACTCACAATTTTACAAATCTATTTTTAATGTATTTGCAAATAAATGATTTGCTAAGGGTGAAAGGAAAAGTGGTTAAACCTGCAAAACTTTTCATATAAAATATATAGAAAGGCATTAAAAAGGGAAACTGAAAAATGACAGACCAAAAACATGTAGACACACACACACACACTCAAATAAATAGTATAAAAGCGACTAGCTTAAAAATCATACAAGCAAAATCTGGAGCACAAAACCAACAGCAACAATAAAAATGACAAAAAGTACAACAACAGCAAATGAAGTTAACAAACAAGCTGAAAAGCGTGAATCTATAATAACCCAAAAAATGGGACACAACAACTAACTAGGACATCACAACTACGCAGACAAAGGCATTTATATGGCGACGAAAGCTGCAAGGGCACGTTGAAATGGGTGGACGTGAACTACAGGAGAATATGTTGCACAACTACCAGTACCAAAGTGATTTTGGCATTATAAAGTGAGTACATACGCACATACATAAGTACATAGTTATGTACGATATGAGAATATTAGTGCTTATTATGCAGAGAAAGCGTAGCCTTGAAGCTTTTCAACAGAAACAACAACAAACAATAAATCTTTCATTCTGCCACAACGTGTACGACTTTTACAGCTATGGTAACTGTGTCGAATAGTTGCAATCACATACAAATATACTTATAACACTTTTTAATAATACCCTGTCGGAAAAATAAACCTGTATTGAAAAGTTAAATTTTTTATATATATTTTTTAAGAATTTCTATGTTAATACATAAAATTGATATTTTTATAAAAAAAGTTTAATTTTACTAAGCAGTTTGAAGTAATTAATTTTCCATACGGACTATAATTTGTCTCAGAAGAAGTCTTGACATTGGATTCTAGTTATATAGTTCTTATACTTTAATAGTACGCAGACAGGTTTACTGGACTCGACTTTAAATATCATATTTGTGTGATAGAAGTACGACTTAGATGAGATAGAGTTAGTATATATACATGCATAGCTTTTTTCAATGATTAGGTAGTGGGATAAGGTTTCTAACCCAAATAGAGGAACTACTCATGTACATATGTATTCTGAAAGATGCAAGTGAAAGTAAAACCTTTTTGTTGGAAGTAAATTCAGACGTGTATATTGTGAGAATCTGCTTATACATACATACACAAATACAAACAGCTAAAAAACGATTAAAAACCGCTTTGAAGCGTTTAGTGGGGTATTTTTTTTTTGAACAAATTATATTTTTAATACCATCAGAAAGAAGAGATTTCAGCAATCATAAGACCTATTCACATTTAAAAAAAATCTGAAATTTTGACTTGAGAATTTTTGATTGAGAATTAGAGTTTTGTTCTGATATTAAGTCCATATAAGCAGAAAAAATAAATATTTTAAATAAATAAAAAATATAGTGTGTTTGGGACATACATATACGAGTATATGTATTTGAGTTTACACCAAATTTCGTGAAAGAAAAAATTTGTTTGTACAAGATATAAATAAAAAACCAAAAAACTGGTTTATGCGAAAAAATTGTGTTTACAAGAGTTATAAATCTTTTCATTACCTACAACATTGCCATATATATTTTTTCTATAGGACTCGTAGTTTTTCCGGAAATCGAGATAAACCGTTTCTAACACTTAAAAGTTCAACCACGCCCCTCCCCTCCCTTTTAAGGACCTTACATCGCCCGTAAATTATTTTTCCTCTAATGTTTGTTATGTTGTCTTTCGTTGCCGATGGGTTTCAACCTATTATGAATTTCTTTCTTTTTGCATCGATTTGGCCATTTTCTTCTGTCTGTGAGAGGAAGAGAGAGTCTGTTGAGAAATTGTTCTGAATTTTTGTACATACCTTTTTTTTCGCAAAAAGCTGCTCACTTATCAGAACCGCCAATATAGGAACACTATAAGATATAACTGCTCAGATCGGATTATAGCATACAGCTGCCATATAAACTGATCGATAAAAATGAAGCTCTTGTCTTTTTTATTTGACAAGATATCTTCACGAAATATCTACGAATAGAAATGATGTGACAGCTTTGCCGGGAATGTTTGTTTTGTGTCAAATTTTGTCAGTGTTTTCAGTAGGTTTGCCAATTTATCGTATCACTTTTACACGGTACAACGCTTAAAAACTGCCCAATGTTATTATGCGAATTCACATTCTTCGAAAAATTCACAAATTTTGTTCACCGAAAAATCTTCTCAGTTGAGGCACATTTCTGGCTTAATGGCTTCGTCAACAAATAAATTGCCGCTATTGAGGGTATATCAAATTTTCGTGTGTATCAGGAAACGACATTGCATCTGCAAAAATTTATTTTATTGGAGCGGATTGTGGTATGGCGGCATCATCGGGTATTAGGCAGGAAGGAAATGTCGTTACCATCAATAGCGAGCGTTATAACATGATGTTCCCGGTATTTGATGAAATCGACGCGGACGATCCCTATTTAATTTATTATAACAAGACAGTGCGCCGCCACGTTTAAACATGGAAACATTGCTTGCAAAGTTTAGCGACTCGTTAATTTCGAGAAATGTTCCAGTCAATTGACCGCCAAGATCATGCGATTTAACGCTTCTAGAGTATTTTCTCTGGGGGTATGTTAAATCAAATGTTTCAAATCTACTAGCAATGCTCGAGGAGCTTGAAGACAATATTCGGCGGGTCATCGAAAATTGATGTAAATGGGTAAAGATATGCAAACAAAACAAAAAAAAAACAAACAGAAGCCATTTTGACCAAATTTGAGTGTTCTATTTCATAAAAAAAAAAACTAGTAAAACGTAAAGAAGAAAATCATGATTTAAAAGGGTTAGAACTTAAATAATCAAAATGATAAAGATACCGAAAAAAATAATACAATAATCAATTTTTTTAAACAATTATAATTTGCTTGGATTTATATTTAATTTTATGTTCACACCTTTATTTCTATAACACATAAATCGTGTTTAGAAAGTTTTCTCACAACTTGCAGGTAATAAACCGAAAATATCTGTTACAAACTTCTACACATGAGAAAAGAGTGTGGAACTATATTAACGAAGCAGATAGAATTTTAAGCCTGCCAGAATAACCCATGCTTTAAGAAATTCAGGAAGAGAGGTCTATAAGGTAAATAATGACTTTTCGCTTAAAGAAAGTTTGTAAGGTTAGCCGTATAACAAAAACAATATGAAATAACGATTTTCGAAAGCAACACAACAAATATATTGGAAATATATACATATTTATACACACATCCATGGATAGGAGGAGATTAATATATAGGTTCAAAGGCATAATAAGAGCACACAAAAGAGTATACAATATAAATCGGTGATTACCCAACTTCCTTAACATTTCTTATCTTTCTTATCCTTCTTCTCGTCTTTGTTTTGCTTTTTAAAATAATCTATACCCTTTTGAATATCCTTTTTCAATTGCTCCACCGCTATACAATACAATTTCTCCTCATCTGCGCTCAACTTCGGCAAACCCAAATTCTTTTCCACACCATTTTTGCCTAACTGCAAGGGCGTCGCGAAGTAAGCGCAGTCACTGACATCGGAAGCAACAAACGAACACTTCACCGGCTTGCCATCGCCCTTCAGGGCTTTCAGCAAAGCATCTGTGAAGACGGCAGCTGAGTGCGCCATTGAAAGCGTAGCGGAACCGCCACCATCCTGATCTTTAGCTTTAACTACCTCCGTGCCGGCTTCTTGTATGCGTTTGATCAATTTTGTGGCTTTTTCCTTATCGAGCTTCAATGTCGGCTTACATTGTGAGAGTACAGGCAAAATTGTCTGACCGGAATGACCACCAATGACGGGCAAAGCAACTTTCGATGGTTCTACGCCCAATATTTGACCAATAAAAGTGCGTGAACGTACCAAATCGAGTGTGGTAACGCCAAAAAGACGCTTAGGATCGAAGGCATTTTTCTGTAAAATTATGCAAAGTTTAAATTTTATAAAGAACTATAATTCTCTGAAAACGGTATACTTTTTTTAGAACTTCAGCTGCCAGCGGTACGCAAGAGTTGACGGGATTTGTTACTATGCCGAATAAAGCCTTCGGACATTTCTCTGCAACAATCATTGTGACCTCTTCAACAACACTCGCATTTTTAGCAAATAGATCATCACGCGTCATACCGGGCTTTCGCGCCATACCACCGACAAGCATGACAACTTGCGCCTCTTCCAAGAACATGAAGAAAACACAATTAAATATAGAAAGTGAGAATGCAAAAAGCTTTGCGTTTCTGGCATTTAAAATGAAACTCACTCTCCAAAGCGGCTGGTAAGTTTTCCGCACATTGAAAAGCCTCTATACATACTTTAGTATCGATGTGCGACAGATCGGCATACACGCCCGGCGTCTTTACAACATCGTAAATGGAGAGCTTACTTATCAGTTTGTGACGTTTAAGCAGCAAAGCCAATGGTTGCCCAATGCCGCCACAAGCACCAACCACAGCCACTTTAAAATCATTCTATGGGAAAACGCAGATTTTAAATGGAAAAATTACTGTTTCCAATATCAACATACTTTCGTGGTTGTGCCGAAGTTACGCACCAGTCGTGTGATTTGCCGAACTTTCAAATTATTCATCTGCAAGTTAGACTGCGAATATATTTTTAGGTTTTATATTTTTATTTTGTGAGTTTGAAAAGTTTACGAAATAAACTATAAAACGGTTGTCTTGTCGATGTACAAAAGAATAAAGAAACTTTTCGCTTTCGTTTTGTATGAAGTCAAATATAAAGTATCCTTTGTTCCGACTAAATTAATACAGTGGTACAGATATTTTGTATTAATCAATCGGTTCAACTATATAAAATTATTTTTTGAGTTTATTACAGAAGCAGATAGAAACTCTCTGAAGTAAAAATACTTCACGACATGACATTTTTCGACAGAAAATTAAATTCTTGTTTGTTTACTTCCAGGAGTTGATGTAATTCCCTCAATATCAAATATAAGTACCGATCGACAGTGATATAATTCCCTTAGTTCCACTATCCGGATTTATCTAATGGTGCTATCGAAGTTATGTAGGAAAATCGTACTACATGTGATTCTTATATACCATCTGATCACATTTGACTAGTCCATAACTGCATGCGCAAACCAAATCGATAAAAAAAAAATTTCTAGATTGGTACAAACTTTTTTATGTTCGTGTGAAGTGTAATCTCCATATGTCAATTAGTGTGTGTTTGGCAGCTGTTTGTTTACGAGGCGATCAGTTTGTTTGCCGGGTTTTGAAATGGGAAAGAAATGAACAACGAGTTTGCTTGAAATTTCGTGTGTTTTAAATGGAATCATAACTACGGAATTATTGAAAATGTTGCATAAGTGTTTTGGGGATTCGACTTATGCCTCATGCGAGTTGTCCATCCATCTTTGTTAATGAGGATAACTTCAACAAGTAAGGAAGGGCTAAGTTCGGATGTAACCGAACATTTTATACTCTCGCAAAGTCAAATGGTATACTCGTTTGAGATTTCTTTGTGGATTGACTGATATTTTCGGTAGAAGGTCAACTATAGGCACTGGGGTCCACATATTTAGTACTTAAGGGTTTGAACAGTTTTGGTTCGATTTAGACAATTTTTGGCCGCAAGGTGGCATACTTTAATTGCATTATTCACGCAAAGTTTTACCCCGATATAATCATTGTTACCTGATTTGCATAGTGGAAAGTGAAAGAATCAGATGGAATTGAAAATGGTGTTACATGGGAAGTAAGCGTGGTTGTAGTCCGATTTCGCCCATTTTCGCGCTATGACATAGAAACATGAAAAGAACGTTATGCACCGAATTTGGTTGAAATCGGTTGAGCAGATCTCAAGATATGGGTTTTAACCTAAAAGTGGGCTGTGCCACGCCCACTGACTAATTTTGAATGCGGGTCCTATAAAGTCATCTCATACCATCCCAGAGATAAAATTTAATGTCTCTGGCGTGTTTAGCGCTTGATTTATCGCGCTTTTAGTAGTTTTTAACAGTACCGTTATATGGGGAGTGGGCGGAGTTGCCACCCGATTTAAACTATTTTCACACCGTCAATAGAAGTGCTAAAAACATTTGCTTCTAGTGAATTTTGTTATTATAGCATTAGCGGTTTAGGAGATATGTACATTAAACCTATTAGAGGCGGGACCACGCCCACTTTTTAAAAAAAAATTTTAACTGCAGATGCCCCTCCTTAATATGAACAGTCTTGTATCTTATTGCGGAGCTTAGTTATGGCAAGTTATTTGTTTTTGATTAATAGCGTTTTGTGGGCGTGGCAGTGTTCCGATTACGCCCATCTGCAATACCAACCGTCTCACGGTACCAAGAAACATGCCTACCAAGTTTCATAAAGATATCTCAATTTTTACTCAAGTTAGAGCTTGCACGGACGGACAGACGGACGGACAGACAGTCACCCGGATTTCAACTCGTCTCTTCATCCTGATCATTTATATATATATAACCCTATATCTAACTCGATTAGTTTTAGGTGATACAAACAACCGTTAGGTGAACAAAACTATTATACTCTGTAGCAACAGGTTGCGAGAGTATAAAAACAGTGTTTGAAAATCGTCGTGTTGACATCAGAGAAATAGCAGAGAATCGCAACATCTCTTATGTTTTGAGCCAGCACATTTTAGTTAATGTTCTATGAAACGTGTCAATGCTAGACTCGTACCAAAAGAACTGAATCTTTGGCAAGAACGACGTCGAGTATAGATCGCAAAAGAGGTGCTAAATAACGTAGCTGAAAAACCTACATTCACGAAGACATCGCTACTGACGTGAGTTTATGAATATGACATCAAAACTGCCTAACAATATAGCGAATGGCGCTCAAAACAGAAGTCGAAACCGAAAAAAAAGTTAGCGAAGCTTATAACAAATGTATGGAAAATTTGATTAGGTATTGGCATGCTTTCTCAAAAGCGGCCTATTTTGAGGGCGATAATAAATATTTGTATGATATATTTTTGGCAGTTCGGTTGAAATTTGATCAGATGTATACCAACTTCTCTGGTACATTAAGACCTTAGCCTCGATATTGCATATTTCCCTTCCGCTTTTTTGTCTTTTGAATTTCGCGGCTATGTACAAAGCGCTACAGCGCTCGTATCTGACAGCACTATACATAATTTGAAAAGTCTTGACATAACCTACAAAACGCTATGCATGATTAGTTTGGATATTGCGTTCAACAGTTATAGACGTGTAAACATGGAGTTCACTAACGCCGAAATTCGCGCTATTTTAAAGTTTTCCTTCGTTAAAGGCAAATCCGCTAGAGAAACGTTCCGTGAGATTAATGGTGTTTTGGGGGATGGTACTCTATCACTTCGAACCGCGGAGGAATGGTTTCGACGATTCAGAGCCGGTGAAAACGACACCATGGATAAGCCAGCCGGCGGAAGACCTGTGACGACAAATACCGATCAAATCATGGAATACATCGAGTTAGACCGGCATATGGCATCTCGTGACATCGCCCAGGAGATGGGAGTTAGTCACCAAACCATTTTGAACCATCTGCAGAAGGCTGGATACAAAAAAAAGTTTGATGTTTGGGTGCCGCATAATTTGACGCAAAAAAACCTTCTGGACCGAATCAACGCCTGCGATATGCTGCTGAAACGGAACGAACTCGTCAAATTCTTGAAGCGGATGGTGACTGGCGACGAAAAATGGATCACATACGACAATATCAAGCGAAAACGGTCGTGGTCGAAGGCCGGTGAATCGTCCCAAACAGTGGCCAAGCCGGGATTGACGGCCAGGAAGGTTTTGCTGTATGTTTGGTGGGATTGGAAGGGAATCATCCACTATGAGCTGCTCCCATATGGCCAGACGCTTAATTCTACCATCTACTGCGAACAACTGGACCGCTTGAAGCAGGCGATCGACCAGAAGCGTCCAGAATTGGCCAACAGGAAGGGTGTAGTGTTCCACCAGGACAACGCCAGACCACACACTTCGTTGATGACTCGTCAGAAGCTACGGGAGCTCGGATGGGAGGTTTTATCGCATCCACCATATAGCCCGGACGTAGCGTCAAGTGATTACCACCTGTTCCTGTCCATGGCGAATGCCCTTGGTGGTGTGAAGTTGAACTCAAAAGAGGCTTGTGAAAAGTGGCTTTCCGAATTCTTCGCAAATAAGGAGGGGGGCTTCTACGAGGAAGGTATTATGAAGTTGCCGTCTAGATGGAAACAGATCATCGAACAAAGCGGCGCATATTTTAACTAAATCCGATTACTGTAAAACTTTTTATAAAGCATTGAATGAAGAGCAAAAAAGCGGTTTGCAACTAATTTAAACTATTTATCACCGTAGGCAGTTGGTCGAGTATTAAGAGATGATTCAGGCTACATATTTTTTAACAGCTAATTAGCATCAGCTCTTAGAAATCAAACAACAATGGTTGAGACCGCGGATTAATGTAGATTTTAAGCTTATTTAGTAAGTAATATAGGCTTGCATGCACAATATTATTTAAACTAAGTTTAAAAGATCCTGGCCGAGGCAAAATATAAATTTTGTTGTTAAAGTATTATTCTAACGATGGACCGGACCCTTTTGGAGGCTAAAACAAAACTCAAAGTTAATTTTTACAAAGAAAATGTTTCGTGACATCTATACGCAATACACAGATGGATCCAAATTGGATGAATCCGCGACCAAACACCCAACATAACATTAAGTATATCGTATGTACAGAGTAGAGATTTTATAATTGGTAAAAAGTTTAAATAAATCAGTATAGAAATGGTTTAAAAACAAGAAAAAACGTTAACTTCGGTTGCAGCGAAGCTATAATACCCTTCACAAATAAAAAGGCTCCTTACAAAAACTTAATTCCGATCGTTCAATTTATATTGCAGCTATGTGCTATAGTGGTTTAAAAACCGAGGGACTAGTTTGCACATATACAGACAGACAGACGGACAGCCAGACAAACATGGCGTAATCGGCTCATCATGTTGATCATTTATGTATAGATTTTATAGCGTATTCGACGTTTTCTTTTGGATATTACAAACTTCGTGGCAAACTTAACATACCCTGTTTAGGGTATGAATATATCAGAATTTGTATACTAATAATATATTATTAATACTTGTATATTAATCTACAAAAAGCAATTTAAGCACAAAAGTTCAAAACTTCTGATTAGTACTACTTACTATATTAAATAAAATCACTCAGAACATGTTGATAAGATTGTTGTCTAAGTTATATAAAAACAAGAAAGCGCAACTTGCTTGTAAAATTGAATTTCGTTGAGCTTTTGTAAAGCTTAAGTCTGTTATTTTGCGCGATCGTGCTGGACTAAAGCTTCAAGCTAGTTTAATTCTAATCTGTTTTTACGATAGCTATTAGAACGTAGAGAGAACGTGTAGAGTAGATATTTCATTCTCAAAGTTCTCTTATCCACTGCATGTGCTTTGTTTATTCTTTTGTCTAATAATTTTAAGCTCCCACGCATCGTCACACCGTGCAACTATAAGAAACACAAACAATAACAATTGAAAACTAATGAATTACTGCAAAGCTATTCTTTTTTATTGAGCTATGTATATGTATTTGTCTGCCTCTCACTTTGGCATCGTCTATCTACTCTGTATATGTACATACCCATACTCGTATATACATACTTGTATGTATTGTATAGTTGTTTAATGTCCGTACATACATACATTGAACCACGCTTTGCCCGCAACCTCTTTTACATTCATCAATTTTATTTGCGTATAGTTTATTTACTGTCAAATTCAATTTTTTACTCACGAAATTGTTGTATTTGTTTCTGTGCTCCGTGATTGAATATGTTGTTATTGCTCTGATGTTTTTGTGATTACACCTTGAACTTCACC